CTTTTAATGCTGCTAATGAATAATTTATATGCAAGTATGGCAAGAGGTGTGCAATGCAAATCATGCCCAATGAAAAGATGAATACGTGTCTGCAGATGCTTGGAGTCCTGAGCGTTCCTGCAAGATGCTGAGCCCTCCATGGCACTGAAATAGTTTTCCCTGAGCTTGTACTGGTGGTGAACTGCTTGGAGAGCAAGTCCTTGGGGTCCAACAGCATGCTCTTCTGTCTGTAAAACCCTTGAAACAGCCCTGATCTTGTTAAACGTGCTCGTAAAGTACATGAAACCCTCTTTAGAAGCTAACAAGAGTCTGCTTAGGGTAAAGACTTAACTGAGCTAAATAATATCAGGGCCTGACCCCATTTCAGTAACAAACTGTCAGTCAAAGGAGAGATAATTCAGGTAAGGTCACCAACAACTTGTAGTGATTTAAGACATCTGAATGTCTATCTGGAAGGGAGCAGCAGAGTTTGGAAAACTGGTGCAGTTGTGTTTATGTGCAGCGTTGGCTCATTTGCTGACAAAAGTGATGTTGAAAACTGGGAATCTTGACTTGCACCTGAGATATTTTAAGAATCTTATTTTTGTTCCTCAATTATTTCAAACTTTTGAAAGTTCAATGAACAAAATAGGAAATGAAGAAAGAGCAGCAGGGTCCTTTGCATATGTTTTTAATCACTATGCAGAGCTGCCGATCACTATAAATTAAAGTGTAAATTCAAGGAGCCTTACAAAAATGGGAAGGCAACATACTTCAGAGTTTGTGATGATTTAGAAAGCAGAACTAGTAATACTATCAATGCCTCTCTGGAGGCCTGACACCAGGGTTCAACTGGTCTTACTGTTGCAGATACCCACTACCAAGATTTATCTGTGTTTCACCAAGTATGAGAAATATATGAATCCAGGGGATTCGGGCTGATCCCCCCCAAAAGCCATCAAGCCGCCTCCATTAATGTCAGCACTCTCATAAATTCTTAGCACACACTGAAGTAGGCAACTTCTGCCACTGCACAGAAGCTTCCAGAGGTGTCCCCTGCCTCCTGTAAATCCACGGACACCCAATAAAGTGGATTAACTGCAGATGGACTTAATAACAGTTGCCCCTCCTCTGGAATTAGAGGGGTTCACACTTTTAAAAGAGGACAATGGTGTTCCCACAAGCAAGAATGACTGAGTTATTTTTTTTTAAATGGCTATCAGATCTTAAGAGTTGATTCCAATCAATGGGAAAACAGGTTGCAGAACTGTGGGCTGCAGTCCTGGCCTCTTCAACATCCTGCTTCTCATGATAATCTTGCTATTTAATCCTCAGCACACACTCTCTGCTCTCCCCCACCATACACAAACAGTCCTCTTGTTTATGATAACTTATTTTCCCTCTGCTCAAAGAAACCTGGTGGGTTATTTGTTCTGGTACTCCTCCGGTAAGCCAGTGATGCATTTGCATTCCCTTCCCTTGCTCCCTCCAGCCCTAAAGATGTCTGCCAAAATTAGTCAATAGATAACTACTCAGTGGAAGCTTTAGGAATGTGTTAGGAAAGGCTTGAACATTACCCATTAATGTTTACAGCTCCTAATTATGTTAATTAATCACCCTTAGAGGTTGTCTCACCCTGCAGCCCAGAGGCAGGATTTCAGTTCCCACAGATGTGCTCTGAACTAACCAGCTCGGGCTCAGATGGCGGCGTGGCTGCTTGCAGCAAGGGGCTCAGCATAGCTGACAAAATCTCTCTGTAGGGTCCTGTGCAGGTTTTGCTGCCAGGGCTAAACACTGTCATGGCTGTGGTGTTCCTGTTGGATTTTGAAGCTAGCTTTGAGTGTCGACGCAAGGTACAGTCGAGCACCTGGGTGCAGGCTGAGCTGTGTCCCCCATGTCCAGAAAGGTTGATGTTAGATGTAAGCTGTTCCTGACGAATGGCCTTTTGGCTTTGCAGGGAGGTGTACAGAGAGCACCTTGTACTAGCACTAATTGCTACGATGCAGAGGTTACTGCCTTTACAAAATCTAAAGTTGTTACTTCCATCAGAAAACAGAGGTGAAGCTATGGACTGAAAAACAGAAGTAATCTCTTCTGTCCCTTGCTTGGAGGTTTTGTAAAAGACAAATCTCATTCCAACATGAAATGCAGCAACAATTCTGGATCAGGTGATTTAGAGACAACAGGAGTGTCTCCTTAGATATATATATATATTTTTTTTTGAGTACTATTATTCAGCTTTACCTGAACCTTCTCTCTTGTTCTCAGCAAGCCTGATGAAAGAACAACGTAGAATTCTTAGTATTTAGCCAAAGTTTAGCAAATGTGCCCATTTGTTGTAGTATTGATGTCCCAGTAATTCTGCAGGAAGACAAAGTACTGGGACCCCCAAGCCTCTGCCATCGCTTTCCAGAGCTTCACCTCCACAACTTAGAGCTGTATTCACCCTCCTGAAAAAAGGCTCAGAGGAGAAACACTCTGTCTGCAGAGTGATTCAAAAGAAACTTCAACTTCTTTTGTGACATTCCCTTAAGAACTCACTTTGTGCAGGCTTTCGGTGTGTTGAATACACGAGGTTAGGAAAGGATATGATCAACTTTAGTGAGCAGATAAGGACGGGAGAAAACTGTGCTGCAGATACAGACTTCTTTCTAATTTCATTCATCTCCTCCTCATCTGATGCGATTAGGAGACAATTCCCTTATTTATCCCCGACTGCAGAACATCCTCCTGTTGTACATTGAGCTCACAGCTACTTCTGGCTGGTAATTTTTGCACCCAAATGGAATGTCGCATACAAGTGGCTCATGAGTGCGTGATGATCCTTTAATGATGACAGGGAAAACAAGTAATGACAATATGGATTAGGTGAAAGAGAGCATTTCATCACCCATCTATAAACAGCTCCTGTGGGCAGTAACTCCTGTCTGTGCTGAATATAAAGTACCAGATGCAAGAGAGGCATTCCTCTGTAGGTTTCTACGGGAGAAGTGCCCTTGCAGGGGTAGCAGAGAAGAAGGAAAGGCATTTGTAAGAGTAATGGGGCATTGTAAAGTGTGGACTGTGATTAAGGGTCTGATACTCTGTCTATTTGGTCATCTTCCAAGGAGTTCCAGACTGGAGCTTGCTCTTTAAAAGAACTGTCTGCCATTGCGGCTCGCTGCACAGAAACTAGTTATTAAGCAATTTTCCTATCAGCTGTTCTTCAAACTGGTGCCATATTGTGCAGAGACTGTACTCCTTGGTTCCTTGGAAAGAGCTTCTGGCAGGCTGAGAGCACGTCCAGTAATCCCAGTGGGGCTGGAGACCGAGACGGGTCCGGATGGACTTGGAGCGACTCAGCTCCTCCAACCCGGGGCCGAGGGAGCAGAGGGCAGGGGTGGTGCAGGCTGGCACGGCCGAGGTGCTATCTGTCTGTGTCCTGTTGGCAAGATTTCGGCTGCTGATGGATTGCCTGGCAACTTGCACATGCATTAATATTGACTTCGTAAGGAGCAGAGTGTAGGGAGTGTGAAAGGAGATACAGGCAGCGCCTGACACAAATGAATACTTGCCCTATTCTGGAGTTTCAGTGCAAAACCTCTCTCTCCATTCATTTTCCTCCTGCCTCCGCATCACCCACCCCCTGCTACCTAGGGAGTCCCGTGAACAGGCATATTGGCAGTGAACTCGGCTCAACAAAACAGTCCTGTGAAAAAGAGAAATATAACACGATCGCTTCCTATTTCTTTTCTCCCTTCCCCTGCATCAAAGCCTGGGCTGGCTGTCAGGAATGCTCCAAATGAATAAATAAAGCACAGGAACCCCCCGCTTCAGAAGAAGTCTCACTCGCTCACCATGAGGCTTGGCCAATTCTTTTTCTGACAGCACTCAAGTCAGCAGGCAGAGCGAGAAGATCATTCAAAGCTAATCAGTAAAGTGTAAACCTATTATGAAAGCACATTTACCCCTTGCCTCCTCCTTCCTCGAGAAAACCAATCCCCAAATCTGTGGGAATAACACATAACGTACATAAAAGTTGCTATTACTTAGATCCCCTGTTATTAGGTCAGCAATGCCACTGATGAAATGCTCCCCAGAGCGCTGAGCAGAGGCATATAAATCCTCCAAGAAATTCACGGCATAATTTGTTACAGCTAGAGGGCATAAGACACATTACAGCAAAGCCTGTGTATTAGGCTCTCCCCTGTGATTCTTCAGGCTATCTCTGGTAATAAAAACCTCATCTTGATTTCTGATCCTTTGTATTGATTTCTGTCAGAGCAGACTTTTCTTAGACAAAAATACTACAACATTTTTCCATATAATAAGGGGATCCTTCTTTACCCTTCTTCCTGCTTTTTTTTTTTTTTTTTTTTTTTTTAATTTAGGGATGAATCCGAGAAAGATTTGTTATCTGGGGACTGTTGGTATATACCGTGGAGAAGACAATGATGACAGTTTTTGCATATGCAGTGCAAAACCCTGAATGTGAAATTAAGAGAAAAATGTTTCTGGTCTGGAATAGCACAGGAAATTGAAACTAAAGCCCCAGCTATGTAATTGCTACATTTTAATATAAAACTCTGTTATTAATATAATGGATGGAATGTGTGGGAGTCATTTGATTAAAATCCAGGCTCAGAGGTACATAATCACAGCAAGTATTAATTTTGGAGCATTTGTACTCCTGTTCCATGAATAACATAGCTACCTTGAAAAACAAGGAGGCCTACAGGTAGATTGCATGATGTTTTTTTTTTTTTTTTTTCAAATGATCTCAAGCGTTCAAAAAATCTTTCTTTTTTTAGTATTGACCACAGGAACAAGGCAAAACAGAAGTCTAGAAAGCTGTATGTGAATAATCTGCCAGCCACATAAGAAGAGCTCCATAAAAGTTAATACAGATAAAGAGAATGATGGACAGTAGGGCTATTAATTGTAGTGTTACATTAAAAAAATATTTTGTGTTATAAAGCAACTGAAACTTTTTTGTTCAATCTATTCCTTTGGATTTTTTCTTCTTTTTTTCTTTTTTCCAGAACCTATCTTCAGAAGAAGTTGTCTTCGTTTTTGAAATGATTGAAGCTACTCCTATTCCCTTGTGCAAAGAAAGTGGTAAATATTTATAACAGTTCTCTGTATAAGTGGAGAAATTTAATACGTGCTCATTGCTTTTGTAATCTGATAGTAGCTGTGCTGAAAGACAACACCTGCTAATTGTATTTCCTATCACATCCCGTTCCAATTGAAGGATGCAGTATGGAAGTTTGGGTTTATTTTTTTAGTACATGCAGCAAAATTCATTCAAAAGAATCTTTGTTCCCTTTTAGCTATCTGTTTATTTAATAGACTACAGAAAATGGTAAACTCTGTCAAAAAGCCTCGTTAAAGAATAATTTATAAGCTACATTTAGATGTTGATCTTGTAGACTGGCTTAATGGAGAGCCAAAGTACATCCTGGCAGGTAATAATGTAAACCTTGACACTTCAGATCTGGCCCGCTGCTCAGCAGGCCAGGCTGGAGCAAGACACAACTTGGCTCTGCCCGACACATGTGCTTCCACTGTGTAGCAACATTAAGCAAAATTTTTCTTTCACCTATTTTGGAAGCAAGTGAATGTGTCTGCTGGGAAAATTCTTTTGGTCACCTCAATGGAGGTCTCCCGCGAAGAGCATCGTGGCAGGCAGCTTGGTGCCTCCTCTCTGTCCCACAAACCATGGCATCACTCAGCCAGATCCACACGAGCTGAAATATTGGGTGATGTCCAGCCTCCGCAGAAGCTGATGGCAGCTCTCCCGCTGGCTGCAAAATGGGGACAGGGTTGTATCTGCCATACTGCTAAGTCACTAGAACAGATTTTATTAATGAGATCTGTCTAGTCTTGGCTGAAATGTGCCTTAGTGATTTTTAGATAAGTTGAGGGACAGTTCATTTAAAAGAAGGCAGTAACAGGGAGAATGATTGAACACAGTGCTCTGATGGCAGCCAGTCTGTCGCTGTCCCTCTGCCACCCATGCAGGCACACCACAAAATTGCCATAAACTCACATGCAGCATCTCTTTTAATTGTGCTCCATTGAAATGATCTGTTTTAGCCTAAAACCGATATTTATTTCATTTTAAAAATCAGATTGTTTTAGATGGGTGGATAAAGAAGCAGTTCTGTCATAACACAGTTCTGACTATAACACAAGATCAGAGAGGAGCTGTTTTCTCAGCCTTTCTCAGTTGCAGAAGAACAACTTGTCTGACTAAAGCCTTGTGGATAAGCGGTGTTGTCACTGATTAACTCTGTGTGTGGGTGTATCTTAATCCCATTTAATACAATCACTTGCTCTGGAAAAGCATACCCATAAAGCTATCTGAGAACAGTTAATGTGGTGCTTATACTCACACATTGACTTTAATCTTTGTTAATTTTCAAGTCTAGATGAGATTCAAGACTACTGAACCTGACTAGATCAGACCAGACAACTTACTGGGTAGTTAAAGACTCCTTACAACTTCTTTAATCACATATTTATATGCTGGGATACTGACTCTGTCTGCCTACAGTCTTGAAGTCTCATCTGAAGTTGGGCCCCTGGGCACATCTGGGATATAAATTTAACAACAGGGTCCCATTTTGCTTGTAAGGCTTACTAAATAAGAAGGCTCAGCATTTAAACTCCACTTTCCTTCTTCAGAGTATTTCACAGATACATGAGGCTCAGGTCGCTTATAAAATAGGTAGCAAGGGTTTTGATGAATAGCTCCTTCAGCCACTCCTCTCTGCCTCCAGTGATCAAACATTGGTATCAGCTTCCTCCAAATGATTATTTAGGATTGGTTAGGCTCTTCGGTATCTGCTGTTACTGCCTTGATAGGAAGGATTTTACTTTTAATAGTATCTTGTAACTGTTTTTAAAGAGGTTTACAGCTGGGTTTATTCTCTGGGAGATTGCCTGTTCTCTGATAATCTCCTAAAGAAACAATTATACACAGTATTTCAGCTAGCTTTCCTCAACCTCTAGCATCAAGATAATTGGACACGATTGACCTATGCTAGAGAATTACTATTAGATGAGTAATATTAAGTAAAGGAAATAAGATCTTTCTGTACCTCAGAACATGGGAGTTGTGGGAAGAGGCAGGAAATGGCAGCTCAAGCACTGTGCAGTCTGGGCCCTAAGAGCAGGGTTGATTTAGGGGATGGGGAAGTGCTTTGTGAAAACTGAGGTTCGTAAAACCCTGAGTTATTTTTAAAGGAGGGCTAGATGGGGTAAGTATATACTAGAGTCTAAAAGGTAGGTAAGATCCAGAAGTACAAAAAAAGAAACATAGATTGTGATAAACCTGTGTGCTATTTTAATGACTTTTTTTTTTTTTTAACAAACACAATTGCTGTTGTATAGTCACCAAAGTCAAGGGATAAATAAGAATAAGAATATTTAATGAGAAAGATTTCATCAGAAAGCATTTGTGTTTCCACCTGGAAACTACACGCCAGTAGACTGAAAGGGCCAGTACACTGAAAAAAACACTGAATGATGAATGGATGTGACACCAGCCCACAAGATGAATGCAAGCCCTGTAACATCACCAAGCAGCTCAAGACACAAAACCGTTGGAGGTGATCATATGCAGAGCAGTTGAAACTTTGCTGATAAATCCTGGAATTTCTGGGCCCTGCTTCCCAATTTACTTTTACATACTAACCCACTGGATAGGGTAAATCCTGGAAAAAAATATCTGTGTCACAGAAACAGTGTGCATTCCTTAGGATGAAGCTTTACGGTATTGCTGTATCAAAGTTGCCAGTCTCAAACTTCAGCTAAAGTAAACTTCCTGAGAGAACTATAGGTGTCAGCACTCAGTTTAAAAACGTGTAAGTATGTGCTTAACTCTACTGAGACGTGAAGTTTCACTGAGATCAGCAGCACTACTAAATAAAGTTACATTTGGGGGAGTGTCTTGAAGGTCAGGCCTCAAGTACAAGCATACTTCAGGCTCATATAGGCTGATAGATAACACTGGCAGCAGGCACCTGGACTGCAGTACCAGTGATGTGATTTGCTGTAGGAAATAATTACACTTCTGTCTCATGGAAGTCTGTGTTACTCTCTTAAACCTTATGTATTCAGACAGGGAAAAAAGTCAGCGTTCCTAAACTGTAGGTATGCTTTTTATAATTACAAAGCTAGAGTCCGAGGTGGATTTGCAATTTGTAAGAACTACAAAATTAGGCTCCCTGGGGCAAGTGGTTTTCTTTAGGGGCAAGTGTTTCTCTCTGCTCACCGACACTCGATGAAACATTGGCCGATCTGATCCTCGAGAGTTTCCTTGATGTCAAGCCCCTCTGTTTCTCTCAGCTTGTCCTTGATAAACACCTCCTCGTTTCTCTCATGGACCTCACCTTGCTGGGCATTTATTTGCTTGGCATGCATCTGTGAAGAGCTCATTGCCTTTAAGTGAGGAGGTAGGCTCTGAAAACGACAAGGGGAGAAAACAAAAGATATACGAATGAAAAGAAACTTAATACACCCTGGAATGCCAGGTTGACAGTGAATCTCAGCTTAAGCCTTAATTTATTTGTGGGAAGCCAGGAAAAAAAAAAAACACTATGCTCATAAAAAGTGCCTGGATGCACACAATGGCCTATTGTTAGTTTTTCAGCATTAATTAACAACATTGTAATGTACAAAAACAACCCTTTCAGCGTGGGATCCTGGGAGCTCAATGAGACAGGTGAGAAAGCTGCTGTTCTGCAAATGCCAACTTTATCCATGTCAGAAGGGTGCCAGAGATTTTTAATTGAAATTTCAAATGTTTGGACTTCCTATTGGTACTTTTTAATTAGCCAGTATTGTTTTTAATTTGTTCACTTAAAATTTTTATATGCACCGCTTGGTCAGTGGTTTCCTGGTATTTTGTTGCAGCTGGTCGTACTCCTGTAGGAAATCGACTTCCCTTGAGGAACAAACAAACAAAAAAGAATAAACAAACCCCCAAACACTGCAATAAAAATCATAGCTCCCCAAGTTTCCCATGATTTGATAACCTTGGCAAGAAGGACTTTTAAACCAGTTTCAAGTCTTACAATAATAATTTCTGCTCCGTGATTGATTTTACATGTGCACTTTAAGAGAGATAAAAATGAAAGTCATTCTGGTATGCAAATACAGAAGCATGAAAAATACCATCTGTCTGGGTGGTCTGAAACTTTATATTTTTTAGTTTGCAATGGTTGATAAAGTTAAGATGTTCCCAGTGTATTATGAGCTATTCCTAGTTTGGAAGGTAGAGAAAAGGGTATATTAAAAAAAAAAAAAAAAGCTTTGATTTTTTTTTTTTTAATTCTAGAACAAAATATTTTCCATATACTTGGGAAGTATTTATATTTTATGTCATATTTAAGAATGGAAAAGGAGATAAAAAATCTACTAAGCTGGTTTTGTAATGCAGGGTGTTTTACTCCTCAAAGTCAGTGACTCACATATAGGTGGCAGCATATGTGAACAAAAGCTCAGGACTGTTGGTTTGCACAACCCCCCCCCCTGCATTTCTGCTCTGGCCTTCCACCTTCAGAACGTATAGAGATTGTCCTTAAATCAGCACATCTCACACTAATTTAGTCATAAATTCTTCTTGCTCTGGTGATGTATTTTCTCTCATGCTCCAAGTCCTAATTCCAGAGGACTCCCGCAAAGACAAAAAAGCTTCTATCAAAGGTTTGGCCAGCTTACGTTTAAGATCTGTTATTCAGTGTTTTTCCATGCCTCAGCCAGGTTCCAAAAATCACTAACAAGTGCCAAGCAAATTTGGTTTCAGAAAATACACGGCGCGTTTGCACACTATCCAATGTAAGCATTAGAGGCCCTGTTCAGGAAAGCAATTTACTGCCCTCCCTGCATCTGCAATGTGTGACTTGCACTATGCAAAAGGAATTGGTCAAGGCCACCGGTGAGAAAATATTCAGAAGGAAAAAAGACAAGCAGCGTGCGTTTGAACAGCAGCTGCACATGCTCTGAACCTGAATATATGACCCAAAGATGCTGCCTTTCACCCTGAGATCTTATCTTCACCCATTTCTCACTTTCCACAGCAGTCAAGTGTTTCCAACTCTTCCCCTTCCACAGCAAGTATTTTAAAGTACAGCATAGGTAACGTTGGTTCTATTTATTTGTGTTTTACCTGTAATGTTAAATGCACCTCAGAATAGCCATACCCAGCAGATGTGATGCTAATTCCTCAGTGCTTAATTCCTCAGTGTTCATTTGGAAACCAGTGGTGGGCCCATGAGGCTTGCTTCGCAGATTGCAATCTAGAAACAAGATCCACTTCCCTCAGGCAGTTTCCCACTCAGCTATTTGTTTCACCAGTGTAATGCTCAAGGGACTGCTGTTCTTAGAAGTTCCCATCAGAGTACTAGTGCCTAGAGGTACTGGTACCATTGCTGCTACTGAAGGGATGAGCAAGCTAGAGCCAATACAACTCTTCCATGTCTCTGTAGTACAGCCTGCGAATAGGCAGTGTGTTATGCACAGACAGCCTGCTAGTTTTTCTAACCAGATGCTCACCAGGGGAACTGAAGGTAAGAGATGTTTTATATAGAAATATGTTTTCCAGCATTTCCTGGGAAGATATGCAAGAAGAATAGGGATAAGGGAAAGAAACCTGGGAAATAAGGGATTGATTATTTGAATGAGCAAAGGAAGTTGTGGTGAATATCAGAGGTGTCTTGCTGGGTGGACAGAAGATTCTCCTGTCCCATCTCCTTTGAGACACAGGCAGAAAAAATGGAATCAATGTTCAGGCCAAGGCAACTGGGTACAACAGGCACGAGCTTTAGTATGGCTAACTTGCAGTCGATGGAGAAAGACAGGTTCCTCTACCGGATTTATCTGAACGCTTAAGGATGAAATTTCATGAGCTGGCTCGTTAGATGAACAGCTTATTGGCACTGGAAATGGCCAGTTTCCACCTCCACTCTGTCTGCTGGATGGGTGGTCCCTGTCTTCTCCTGCACAGGCTCTGGCACTCACCTGACCCTGCAGTGAACCAGTCCAGCTTTCTAAGAAGTAGAAAATAATCTCCTTTATCTTTTCTCCCTCTCCCATCCCCTCAGGTTAATTCTCTCCCAGGATAATGAGGTGAATCAGTCAACCAAGGAGGCAGCTGAGGGCCAGAGCCATTGCAAGGGGAGCGGTGGGTGAGCGTGGAACAACAAGGAGGCAGGAAGGCCCGTGCAGCAGCACAGAGAGGGGAGCTTCTCTTCACCATCGCTGACCCTCATCTTCACTCGGCTCCTCTTCTGAACTGCTCTCCAGTGGGTGCCTGAGGAGCCTGTGATGATCAGCTTCTTGTCACTGCAAATTTACTACCAGCATTTCTCATCAGTACCTAGGGCAGGTGAGGTAAGAACAGTTTGAACTCTCAAGAACATGCCAACATAAGCAAGACCATAAGGAGCAGATCCTTATCTCTCAGTGAACAGATCATACCTACGCTTGAATCCCGAGTCACAAAGCTCTAAGCTAGCTGTCTCAGATGCTGATAGCAACAGAGCTACGAAACGTGCTCTGGTCTGCAAAACCCACCCAAGGCTTTGAGTAAATATTTGTGCAGCTACCTGTCTGGTCTCCATATGGTTACCAGTATGTCTGCTGATATTTGTGTATGAGCTGCAGTCAAAGCCCTAAGGCTGAAGTACAGATATATCCTTCTACAACAGCTTATAAAAAGAAGCTCTGTTATATTTGCCCTTCATGTTTTCCTCATTCTCTTTTCCTTGTACTGTTTTACTTTCATAAAACAAAACAAACAGGAACCACAGGAAAACTCCTACCCATGAGTCTAGTTACCCACCTTCAATAACTCACTAAAAAAAGGGGAAAAAGGGATGAAAGAGAAGAGGAAGGCTGGTTAAGACCACGCTCTTATTGGACTGTCTTTTCCTCCAGATCTATTCCTTCCTTGTTATTAGTATTTTCTAAATTAGGGTACAGCCACTGCTCATGTGGAAAAGAGTTTATTTACAAGGAGGAAAAGGCTGTTGCTGACATGAAACGTGCTGTTGCTTGATTGCTTCCATTGCTGGGAAAGCAGAGCTGGCTCGGAGCTAGACAGCCAGATAAGCCAGATTCACAGGAAGGAGGCGAGGGGCTGGAAAGGAGCCAACGAGATAGTATGACATGGCAGGTACAAAAAGACACTTGATCCGAGTGGGAGTCAGCTCCGGCAGGCAAGCTGTTGTGAGGAGTGACGGTGAGTACGTTAATAACAAATGACAGCCTTTGAAGTTGGCCTAGTGGTGGACAGACAGTTGCCAAACAGGGGCTCCTCCTGTAGTGCAAAGCTTTGGAAGGAGTACACTGCGATTCAGATGGGTGAGGGGGAGCACGAAGTGAAGAGCAAAGCTGGTCGTGATAAATGAGTCCTGGAGGATTCGTGGCAGCCTAATGGGGAACATACGCAACGCACCCTGTTTATGAGTGAAGACCAGGAGGCCTACACATGTCAGGAACCAAAAGCTGGCTTCTGTTCTGGGGGAGGAGGAGGAAAGCATCGAGCAGCTGTGAGGAAATCAAGCCACAGCTATTGGAGTTTAAGGGAAGCTTTACTGGTGAGCATACAACTGGCCTGGCTTTTCATTCAGTTACTTTGACATCAATGCAGTCATGTCAACAACAAATGAATCGAACGTGGTGTCTCTCAGGATCTTTCCAAGCAAATTCCAGCTTGCTGGGCATGAAAACCAGCTGAAGAACAGCACAGAAAAATGGCAACAAGGAAAAGCATGAGTTTTGTTTAGTAACAGGAGGAATAAGGTTCTGGCACATGAGGAAACACCAAAAGAACTTAGGTGTACGTAGGCTAACATGTAAAACAGAGACTTAAAAACTTAAAAACTGCTTCCTTGGCCTGTAAGGACTGATCCAAGTGCACTTAAGGGTGTGAAAGATCCAGATAAAGAATCAGTGTTAGAGTATAGGTGGGGAACAAGAAGATGAAATAGATAAAATTTGAGTGTGGAAGTGAATTTAACAACATCACCTAAAACAGACACTTCAGCAGCACAAGCTGCTGGAGAGATATACCAAGATGTCCAGATGATATTAGTTTAAAAATGATGTAATTGTACCATTGTTTTATCTGTCAGTTCTCTACCATCTGTTGTACATTTGCAATGCATTTTCAGAGCAAATCTTTTCTTCTTTTGTCAAATAAAAGACTCAAACTGAGGAAAGAAAACTGAGTCCTCAGGGAGCCTGTACAATGGATGGTATGAAATGTTTTAGACTTTTACAACACCTTAAAAAAAAAAAGATTTGGATAGCACGTGCAGTCTGAATTAGAGAACACTGGTTCCATTTTCTTGCTTTGCAATTGAAGAAATAAACTATGTTAAGCTCACTTTCTTTTGACCCAGTGTTCTCGTCCTAATCACAAAAGTGTATGTCACCCTAAACCTCACTGGTTTTGGAGTTCAAGCGATCCTTAATCCTGCCTCAGTTGTGAGGAGGCAACTGCAAAATGTTGGAACTTAAATTCATCCTTCAAGCACTCTTGGGTCTTCAGAGCAAGGTGGCTCCAGTGGCGTTTGTGTTCTCTCATCAAGGAGCAGACTTCAGAAAAAAATCTGTCTGAAAAACAATTGCCCATCTAATAATGCAAGAGAAAATAGGTATAGAAAGGGCAGAAACAGTTCAAAGACAGATGGACAGTGCAAGAGGATGGTTTCAAACGGCCTCAGCTAGTCTTTGACCTGTCCTTTGCAGTATTGCAGATTGGATTTCCATGTGCCCCCCATACTTGTTCTGGAGCTCTAAGAGTTATACTGAGACGATATGATGACTGCAGCTTTACAGCTATCTATACTTAATGTGCACGTTAAGGAAGACAAAAGCCAATTTATTTCTAACATCACTTCTCTCAGCGCCTCTAATGTTTCTGCTTCTGAATCAAAGGGAGGCATTCTACAGTAGGACATAAATAAATAGCTTTTCCTTGGGGGAAGAAGCATTTTCCCATCTTAAAGAAATTTCTTTGGCCATGTGAAATTCAAATTTGTTAACTTGCCCTACAAACAGCAACTCATTTAGAAACAAATTACAAATATTAGATGGAGACAGTGAACTTGATAATGCAATGCTGCCACATCAGTTGTAGAATAATGCATCTTAATGAAGGCTTCCCATGTGAATAAACCATTATATTTACAAGCTTTTCACAGTTAATGACCCAGAACTGGATAACGAAACTCACATTTTTAGTGTGGTCCTCTGTCAGCAAAAGTATACATATTAATAATTGATGTTGCTGTAAAAATAGGGCATAATAGGAAGATTCCTGAGTTTGTGGGAAAATAGGACTACATGGTCCATTAACTTAAAATGCTTATCTAATGTTTGATGGGCTTTGTCTTTAAAATCCTTGTTTAAATTAATAAGGCAAAATGGACATTTGTCTAAAAGAGAATTTTGTTCCAACTCATCAGTCACAAGCATGCTGATGAGAGAGCTGTTTGATCTTCTGCTCTTTTCTGCTCCCCCTATCCTCCCCAAAGAGAGTTGAGGTTTTACCAAAGTGGGAGACCCACCAGTAGAAGGAAGGAGAAGTTCCCTACGCATTCCAGGTAAGCCAATGTGATGAAAGCCTCTGTACGTGTTCTCTTTCACACGTAGGAATTCAGTGGCATAGATCATTCTTTCCTAGCTTGAAATGTCTGTCTTTCTGCTTAGTCAGCTCAACAGCTTTTTTCAACACAGACTGCTTTATTGTTCATTATAAAACACTTAGAGGTGTGCAGGCTGGCTGAACATGCTTAAGGCTAGACTTCTACATATAGGAGGCCCCATACTGTGGAACTAACTGCTCTTCAATTGTTCCATTATGACTACACTTACAAGGAAAGATAGTCTTCATTTTAGAGAAATAAATAAATTCATTCTATTTCATGTTTTAAGGCTACCATACATATTATGCCTGAAAGGTAGATTTACTGGAGCTTTTATTACTGGGTACTTAATTTAGGATAGTTTCCTTTCTTAGGTCTGAAACAGCACAGCTGAAAGATATACAGTGTGGTTTTAAGAGACTTTTCCAGTGTATGTTCTGCTACAGACCGTATCGTCCAAAATTGTAATCTTCCAATAGATGTAGTAATTGAGTAGCATTTTGTTGCTCAGTTTCAGAAGTAGCAGAGTTTGCTTCTCTGGAGGACTATATTTCCTAAGCAAAGTAAGTATTCTTAAGGGTCATTTGTTTTCACCAGAACTGAAAGCGAGATTTCTACATTTCGACTACACAGACAAGTAGCTCCTTACTAGCAGAATAAAGGAACTTACTCCCTAAACAACCAGGGTCCTGTTTGTTACTAACTTATTATACTGACATTTAAACTGTGGTCTGAATTCTCTTTAAAAGTTTAATATATGAGTTAGATATGCTCTTGCTTTCTTGTTCCCTCAATGTATTTTGTCTGGATGCAGGAAGAATGTGTTTTGAAAAAGTCTCATCTGATGAATATTGTGTTCATATAGATTCCATGGTACACAAATGGTGATAGCCACATCAATTATATGGCTGAATTCCTAAATTAGGCACAAAAAAAGGAACAACTAAAGAAAATATATTGCGTTCATTAAAGCTTCCCTACTATATGATTCACTTCAATGGCTTTGCCAATTAAAGTAATTGTCATATGCATTCAAACAAAGCATTTGTAGTAAAAGGTCTTGTTAGAAAAATATTGAAAAAGGCTGTTTCGTAGATTTGTATAATATATAAATAAATATTGACATGCAACACTTTTTCATAAGATAAAAGAAAATTTGGAGCGGGAGAAACATTTATATTCATGACCATATAAGTTTATGTAATTATGGTTATGTTTATTTAGATATTATACCTGGGCATGCTGTCAAACATACTAAAAATGGCAAGTATGCTTTGGACTCTGGAAGGCAGTGATTTCATTGCTAGTGTGACTCTAGTCAATGAGAGCCAAAATATTTAGTGAGATTCTTGCTTGCCAGCATCTTGCTACTTCAAAAATAAGCAGGTTTGAAAATTATGTTGAAAGCCTAGCAGATTATTTATCACTGTTTGGATGTGTATGCATGCCTGGTGAAATAAAACTTCTTCCTGATGTTTAAGCATCATCTAGGTTAAAAAACAAACAAACAAAAAAATTTTAAACTGGATTGAAACAGTCTGGATGTGTAACACTACTGTGTTTGTCTGTTTCCAACTACTGAAGAAATATTTTAAATTTTATGTATTTATGGAGTTTGCAGTTTGTTAAATCCCATATAATATTTATTTAGCCATAACCTTGAATGTTTATACAGAAGGCTATTCTGGGAAATGCTAATTTTTTTCTGACTAGATGAAATGAATTATATTTATCAGGAATTTAAAGAATAAGAAATGTTTGGCAGACTCTTTTCTCAGATATAAATAAAAGCATTACCCAAGACAACATGCCTAAATTAGGGTATGTTTAAAAGAGGTAAGAAGGAGAATACAGTTATTTATTTAAGACCACATAGATCCTTTCATGTGAAAAGGATACAGAAAGAGGAAGACTAGTGGAAATACTATATGAGAAAATTGTAGATAAGCACATATTGTACCACTAACTGTTTGGCAAGGGCTGAAATTACGGAACAGAACAGTGTGAGAGCTGTGTAACCGTGTAAGTCAATAGATTTATCTGTGAGACAAGAAGGCATTTATGCGTGTGCATGTCCAAAGCATCCAGGGTTCGGTCCTATAAATTGTCAAAGCATGCGAAGCACTTGGCTTCAATGGGATTGATTACTTGTGCTCGTTATGTGACAACATGAGCAAGGGAACATCCAGGGCCTTTGGAATACTCCAGCTGCAAAGCTGCAACAGTAGGCTGGGTCCCTAAATTGAGACAGATTTTGTCTTGTCTTTTTGTATTTGTTGTTCCTAGGCTCCTCCTCCCCTTCCATAAATCAGTCATTGCAAACTTATCATAACATTTTATGCTAAAACCACTTTTTCCTCTTTCCAGTAGCAAGTGTTTTGAGATTGTAAGTATAATGTCCTGCAGGGTCTATCCTGTGAGGAGAGCCAGTAAGTGAGAAAGCTGCGTGCAGATTCATTATTGGGCTGTTTTGCACCACTTTGAGACAAAGCAGTTGCCAAAAACCACTCTGCAAATCCATTTACACCAGGCTGACAGCTAGCTTGCACTGCTGTAGAATGGAACAATCACACATCCTGTAACTGTGGTGCTTAATGACAGAATTTATGAGCTAAAAACAGACAAGTGCAAGTATATGCCAGTTTAAAAAATGGAAAAATGGTCCATTATAATTGGCCTGTAACTGCAAAATAGCCCGAGCAAGGAAAATACAGGTTTGTTTGGACAGCACATGCATGTTTTCCAGACAATTTAATGTTTCCTTGCAACATCAGTGTGGTCAGTGTGGCTTAAACACAGACCTTGGCCTGGAACATTGGTTGTGGTGCTAATGCTGGGGCTGGCAGTAAACAGCATTGTGGCAGCGAGGTGAGGAAGATCAGGAAACAGGTCAGGATACAGTTATCAAGATATATGTGCTCTTAGCGAGGGTTGCTTCTCTTTACAAATTAAACTGGTATTGCAAATTGTGATTTATCGGAGATTTAGAAAAACATGTGCTGAGGGAATCATGCTGTTTCTGCAATTAAGCTTTAATAAATAATAATAATAATGAGGCTTTACTTTTGAGCCAAGAAAAATCTCCGGAACATAGACTTCTACTCTGTCATCAAGCAAAAGAAAGAGAATCGAATTCCAGAAAACATACATAAATTTTACAGAAGTAAGTAGACAGTAAAGAAAATAAAATTGGATTAAGCAAAAGACTGAACTATCTTTGTTGCACAAATTTCCATATTTTTAGACCAACGTGACTGAGTTTTTCCAACAACCATTATTCAGAACTTCTAACAGACTAGCTCTTTTTGTAAGGCACTCTTTATATGAAAGCAACATCTACATTTTTTAAATAGCTGTAATTATAAGAGAAATTATATTTATTGCAGTAAAAGTCAGGTCTCCTTTGGGATGGACTTGGAGTAATGGATGGCTAGGTCTTCTAATTTATCTAAGTCGTGCAGCATTAGAAAAGCAAATTCAACATATTTACACATGAAGATCTGTGGTCATTTTTTAGGGGGCTGACATGATCATACATCAAAGAGACTTGACCTTTGGAGCTCACTGCCTATCTGTCAGCATGAACCAATGCCTGCTTGCCACTCACTTCCTGGGGAGACCACGGAAGGGAGCGTGGCATGAAAAGTACAAGCGAAACATGAAGGGGGAATATAAAAACATTGGAAAGATGAACAGATTTTTTTTATTATTATTTAGAGGTATCCATTTTTTTCCCACATCCTTTGATTATATACTTGATAAAGAGTAATGAGTCTGAGTGCAGAATAGAAAACATCAATTCTCTTGCTCCTAAATGGAGGTCAGGAAATGAATTCACTCCATGTGTTTGGTTTGAATTCCCTTCTTCCCTATGATCAAATAGATCTTCCTCCCCATAAAATACAGTAGATGGCTATTTACACCCCAGTTATCAGTTACTCCTACAGCTGGCCACCATGGAAAGAGTGCTTGGCTGTGAACCCTTCAATAACTGATACCAGACTTAGACTTCCTCCCTAATGATCTAGTTTTAAGACAGTATTGTCATGGGACTTGATAGGAAATGATCTCTTGTTTTGCAAAAGGTATATTTCATAATTTGTTTTCAGTACATTCCAAATATTCACCATTTTAGGTCTGCACAACTTAAAATCTTTGTCTTTTTCTTAAACAGAGGCAGAATCAGCGCACAAAACTCTGGTTACCTGTGCTGGCCGTGTTTACTGTTAATGACTAGCAGATATTAAAGGTAACAATTCACAACATTTTATCTGTATTTAACTTGGTTAAAACTTAGATAAATGTACATGTTACTTCCTAAAGATAAGATTTTAAGGTCATTCTTAGCTGATGATACATGTTTGTCAGATGTCTGCTAAAGGTACAATTGGTTTTCTTAAAACCAAAACCTAGCTAAGTGTAATTCTATCGCTGGCTAAGAAAATCATCAGAACTGTCTGGGAGAAGCAGAAAGCATGTTTTAATTCAAAATTAAATTATTAGTTTTCAAATTATCATTTAAGAGCTACAGAACAGAGGCAATAAATAAACTTACCAAATATAGAGCAGGGATGAATGTTTCTGTAAGGCAGGTGCTAAGCAGCAGCATTACAAGAACTTGGTGTGAGGGACACCCTACTGTAGTTGGAGTTGAAGAGAGCTGCAAGGCTTGACGCCTACTAGTGTCTAATGGAGGCACCCAAAGAATTGGTGGGGGACGAAGAAAATACCAACTCTAAGGTGTCTATTCTCCTTCTCACTTACTTGCTAGGTGCTGGTGTTGGTGCACAAGATGTTGGTGGGAGGAGATGTACCTTCTCAGATTGTGGGAGATTCCTTCCTCTGTCTGTCTTATCAGTAGGAGTGCTTTCATTTTCCTTTCACCCCATACAGTCTAACTGACCACAGACAACTATTCACTTCCCCATACCTTTGCAGCATGATGTGAGGAATTTTTAGGTTCTTTATTTCTAAGCGGACTTACTGACACAGTGATATAGCAGTTCTAATATCCCTTTCCCCTTCTCTTGAGATATATATATATATACATTGGCTTGCAAAAGGGTGTGAGGAGAAGACACTGCTGCTTTAATTCTTCAGGAATAAGGCAGGTCAGCTGTCCTGGCATTCTGAATTAAAAACTGATTAATGAAATTCCCTTGCTCTGTCACGCCTGCATCAAATTCCCTAGAACCTAGGGCAAACTCTAAACTGTCCACATCTGCCATATATATTAGACTATGTATATATAGCATAAGAGCATGCAGCTCAAGACAAATTGGGTTACTTACGTGCCATTTATCATTTCTGCTTAGTTCTGTATTCCTTAGAGATCCCCTTTAAAATGGGAAGAATCTTAGAAATTAATTTATTGTCTTCTGGTAAATTACAAAAGTCTGAAGAACAAACAGACTATGGTATTTTATATTCTCTAGACAGCATCACTTACCATCCCCAGAAATATCATTTCCTCTTCTCTCATTTTCTCTGTTTTCTTGCGCTGGATATATCCACGCCAAACCTGAATTGTAAACAAAACTCTAATGAGATAAATGGGCCTTGTTACAGCTTCCTTTACTGTGGCAGACACAGGAAAAAACAAATAGAGGAAGGAAAGGCACAATATACAATTGAAACTATTACTCTTTAACAGGTTGCCAGCTGCTATATTTTTCTATAAGAATTTCTGAAGTTTGTTATCTCCTCATACTGGCATATCTATCTTCTAATACAACAGCACTAGGATTCAAAAAATGTTTAGACTGAAGATTTAGACTGAATTCCTGTTCTCGTTTGGCTGAATTATCTGAATTATTCATGTGAAAGGACTTTTTCTGGAATTTAGTTGTGATAAGCCATTCTCATTTTCTCAAGATATGGGATGAACTCTTTCCCCAGAGACCCCAGGAAAAGGCACTGGATTTCAAGGTGGTGCCAGAAAGAGCAATTGAGGTCATAAAAATCAGAATGGAAAAACAACATGTAGGTTATAAAGTCATCCTGTATTGTCAGTGCAGGACTGTTTGCATTGATCTCACATCTAGGGTTCTGTCTCATTTTTAAAGCGGTTTAAATGATATATTTCACCTTGCTAAACACCCTCAGAGCAATCCATTCAGAATGCTTCCCACCCTACGAGCTCTGTTTCTCCCTACTGCTGTTCTGAAAAGAACACTTGCCTCTACCAGAACTGTTGTTACATCAAAGATCTCACCTTTTGAATGCGAGTGGCAGCATCATCTGGGTTTGGACCAGTCTGTACCTGAAGTTTTGTTTGTCTTTTTCTCTTTTCTTCAAGGTACATTTGCTTCATGAATACTGCTCGACGACGACCCTGGCGAGCCCGCTCTGCGACCTGGATCATTTTAACGGCTTCTTCAAATGTCATGGCCTTGACAGGTATCTTCAATGGCACAGATAAAAATGAAATGACAAAGCAGAGTGTTTTGTTAATTGCCTAGCTAAGTTAGCAAATGAGACAATCAATTAACCTTTTGTGGAAACTTTCTAAGACAAAACATCCCTGTCACAAACAACAGAGACTCCTCTCTTATGCCACTTTGCACTATCTTTGAAGTTTGCTGTCTTGAGACACACGTTTTTCTGAGGACCTTAAGGTGAAGGTGAACCTGACATGTTGATGAAGTTTCTATAGCACTCCAGGTAGGTAGATGGTTAGGCTGGGCAGAGCCAAAAGAGTCAATGGAAGATGGAGAGGAGACAGGCTGCAGCCCTGGGGAGCACCCCTGAGAAGCAAAAAACTCCTGATGCTATAGTGGGAAACATGGTTGGCTCTATATAGTTTATGCAGATTGCTAAACTTCATCCATTTGAAAAAAAAAAGGCATAAAGAACCATGGGGCTTTCTCCTATTAAAGAAAATTCCTTAGGCTATGGAATGTCTTCCTTTATTTTTCCCCTAGTTTCTGAAGAGATGGGTTTCTGGGTGTGCTGCTGGGTCTCCAGCTCTTTTGTTGAATGAAAGGACAGGTTTTGAACCGGCACAGGCATGGTCAACCCAGCCCGGGTAGAAGAGGGTCAGGAAAAAACAAGTCAGAAAAGGGCAGCTGGAGAGAAGGACTCCCCCTTCTCACTCCTGGGGACTCTTGTTAATGCCTCATGTTCCCCACGGAAAGGCTGAATGGTTGTCCTTTCCTAACATGAATCCCCCTGTTGGAGACAGTTCACACCTAATGCTTCAATATATACTGTGTGGAGCTCACTATACACATTTTCAGTAGGGCTTTCTGCAATGGAAATACACAGGAGAAGAAAATCTGCAGAGCAGACTCCTCTGATGAACTCCACAGTTTTGGATGTACACTTAACTGTTTGTCATGGGGCTGCCATGGACACTCAAGAGCACATTTGTCTGCTACACAGCAGGCAGGATTTCCTGAGTGTATGTGTCTTGCTATGATGCGTGCGTAAGTGCTGACAACCCTCTAGAAATCACAGCGGTGACTGAACTGGAAGCATAGCACTGGGCACAGGACTGAAACTGTGTTCATAGGAGATAGTTTTATTCCTGTTTATTGATTCCTGTGTGTCTCTTGTGGCATCCTGGCAAGGGTCCTGCCGGGGCCTGGTGCTCCCAGGTGAGCTGGCTGCACACAAGATAGTCTCATCTGTAATGGATGCCATGCTGAAAAGGGATGAGAGCTCAACTGTGGGAAACAAAAAGGCTCCAGGATGTAATGTGCTGAAACAGAGGATTTCCACAGACCAACACTAGACTATTAGAAAGTGCAGAGAATATACCCAGAAATTTACTGCGGAGGCCGGGGGGACCGCAGCTGCCCATTAAAGTAATCTAGCAGGGAGACTGCTCTCTGCCTCTGCAGACTGTCTCCTTCTGTCCCTGGGAACCTTCCCTCGGTTGCTTTGTGGGATCAATACTACCACGTAACGCAGCAGGGAGGCAGATTTCCCCCAACGGCACAATTACTGTGGAGAATTCAGTGGTTGGGGCAGTGCAGCAGTTTGACTAAGTGGCCTGATCAGGACTGTCTCTTACAGCTACAAAGTCCATGAATCTCAGTCGCCAGACTTGTAAGCACAGTTGTTTATTTCAGGAGGTTAGAGGACTGCTTGCAGGCAGTGCGCCATTTCCAAGAGGTCAAAAGTATATCAAATCCAGAACAGTCTTCACTGGAGCACTCATGTACTTCTCCGTAATGACTTTTGCTCTGCCAAAACTCAATTTTCTACTCCTCCTAGCAGCTGCAGCTCGATAGCTGTACAGAAGAGACTGCAGTCATTGTTCAGAGGTTATAAACAACTGAATACTAACAGTTGCGCTGACCTGAACTCTGCGTTTTGCCTGTTCCAGCCAGGAATCCTGGTTCAGTAAAACTTAAGCCCAACTTGATTTCAGTAGGACGAATTATGTGATGAGAGTTAGCTAGGTAAATAAAGCACCTACTAAACTTGGCCAGCGTACTGCCCTTTCGCTGACACTCACACACATAAAGCAGAGTCGACTCGTTTCTTGAATCTTAGACCCAAGATGTGACTGGGTATTACTACACAGGAAAATTTAAGGTTACTTTTTATGTATGTCTTATCTGTAAGCAGACTTTTACTTCCGAACTACGATAAAAATACTTTTCACTTCAGTGGCTTATGTGCTCAGACATGTGTGGCTATAAACTAAAAAAGTTAAGCATGTTATTGTGCAAATACATGGGAAGCTTACCTGTGTTTGCAATCCAGCTTCACATAAAATCTCATCAAGCATTTTCTCTCTCTGCTGCAAGACTTCCAGGTTTTCTTTAATGAAATACCTTGGGATAGGTATTTCTATGTCTTCCTACGGGAAGAAATAGTCATGAGATGCTTTTTTAGAACTGCATTAAAATCACATTACTTATTAATTGAACACCTTTACAAAGCAATTAAATTGGACTGAGATTATTGAATTTTTTTGGAGTGTTAGGGAATTTGACCTCTGTAACAGCTGCCGAGCTGTTACTTTGCAATTACTTAAGACCTAATTCAACAACAACAAATAAATCAACCCAGTTTCTGAACCATGGCAGCCCAGAAATCTTTCTTTTTATAATGGCTCAATTATATTATGAAACTGTTGAAACATTTGGCATGGTTGCCAGTAATTTAAACATGATTTCCACTAAATTGAATACCTCTGGCTGTGTGATCATCCCACTTCTTTTTTAATCAACATGAAAAATAGATCGGTTCTCTTGCATTTTTTGGAACCATTACAAAGAACCAAAGCACAGAATTCTGTTTGTGTACAGGTATTTCTGCACTGTCTGTGACTGTGATATCTCAGTCACTTCTCAACATCAGGCTCAATTAGAAGTGGCTGTCTATTCATTTCCATCATTAAAAAGATGTAACTGATTCACTTTTCTGCCAATTTGGCTCCTGTAGAATTTCACAGTTGAGAAATGAAAGAAGTGACAGACAGGCAGGTAGACAAAAAACACCCTAGACACTAAGATGCTGCAGAGCAGCATCACCTGATCTTTGTATTGAAGGCTGGAGACAATTCTTCAGAAATAGTTACTGCCAAGTATAGTTCTTTGGGGATGGAGGGCAAGACCTATATTTAATAGGTCTGGTTCATACTGGTGCCGTTTTCCCTATGCAGTATTTCAGGAACATCCAGACATCTGAAGCAAATGATTCACCCTGAAGGACAGAAGAAGGGATGAGGGGAAACAGGCAGTTATCCTGCCACGCTACTACTCATCAGGAGTTGCAAAATCAAGTTCCACAATAATGTCCCCAGGTCCTTTTGCCCAGAGAGATTGACAGGTACAAGACTTGATGTTGCACTACCACTGATTTCTGCACTGTCTTCTGGGGGAACTGGTGGGCTTTGACCTGCTCAGGGCAGACCTCTGACTTGATCCTCTGCAGCCTCAATCTGCTGTGGACAGATACAGTGAGCAAAAGCAGGAGAACTGTGCTGATTGCGAAGGACAGTGAAAGCTCCTGGGCACAGGGTAAATGTGCGGCTTGCAAACTCGATGGTTTTCCAATTTCTAGAGCAAGAGTTTGCCAGGAAGGTTATGGACAATGAAAACAGCTCCTGCAAACTGCCAACTTACCCATTTCATTACTAATAACCACCTCTGCACACTGTGCAGAACGGGGCATCCCTATTATGGTAGCACAAGAAAGCCTCCAAGTAGGATTGTGCTTATCTCTATTGATTTTATCAATGCAGAGGTCTGGTCTGCTGAAGTTTCTAAATATTTGTCTTGTTAAGGTCCCTGTTTGCATTTTCTAGCATTTCAACTGTTGATGGAAATGATTATATATTGTACGTTAAGAGTGCAAATTGCTCTAGGAAGGGATTAAAAATCCATCTGGCTTTAGGTACGAGAAATCAAGTGGTTTGTCTGGACGCCCCCGCATAGGATGGGACAGCTGTTACACTGCCAGGTAGCAGTGCAAGGCAGTCAGTGCAGGGTTGATGAGTATCTCTGGTATCTAACCTGGGCTTTAATCACCAGTAATTCTGGATTGTGACTTTTACTGACTGGAAAGATGAGATCAAAGCCATAACACTGGGGCTGGCAGAGGTGGGGAGTAGAGACTGCTCTTCTTAATAATCTCTTTTTGGGGCCCAACACTGAAAGGTTAGGCTTGCAATGTTTATCCTCAAGTCAAATTGACAGCTTTCTAGCCACTCCCAGCTCCACATGGGATTTGTGTATCCAAATACCTTTACAATTACCCTAATAAATGGAGTCACTGAGTGTTGGAAGGCAACCATAAAAAAACATGAGACACAGAACTAGAGAAAGATGAAACTTCACCCCAGCTGGCCTCAGTAATGCAGCAAAAAGTAGAGGAAGCACTCTGCAACATCAGCCATGAGGTATGAAATGAGAGTTAGCATCTCTGTTCTGCTCTCTGCTGATAACCATGCTGGTTTTTAGCCCGTAATAATATGTTGAAAGAAAGAACTAGAGACAGCCTTTCTGGAAATGTTCTTTAAGAATTTTAAGTTATTTTTCAAGTTCTGGCCAATGATTTTGTTTTGGAACCAAGAATATGTGATTATAAGAAAATTTAATCAGGTCTGTATTTCTATCTATTGCGGAAAACAATGTGTTTTTTGAAAAAGTCCAAAAATTCTTCGGGGCTTTTTTTCTATTTTTGTAGTAGGAAGCTATTTCAGGCCTTCTTCAGTTTAAGGTGTGGCTCAGGAATTTGAATTTATGCTTGTTTTTTACTAGATGTGAAGCATTACTTTTCAGACTTGCCAACTTCTTCCTGCAGGTGGATTTACTGATAACTCATGAAAACAGCAATCCTTAGCAATTTCAAAATATGATTTGAAGGATCAGTTTCCCCAGAGGTGTGTTTGCATCCCCACTATGCCTTCTCATAGTTTAAAATAATTCTCTGTTATGATTAAAAGAGAAGGTAAATAGTTGGTTGAAATTCTTGGCAATTACTTCCTAAATTTGCGGAATGAAATACACATGCAATTGCAAACAGTAATACGTCTGCAAATCTCGAAATAATTCCCTAATGATATTAGGCAATTTATCTCGTGTTATAGCTGAGATCCAGAAAACCGAAGTAACTTAAGTTTCGACTTTTTTCTTCAGCAATGCTGTTACCAGCGGTACCTAAATTTGACAATAGGTGGAGCTGTCTGCGAGAGAAGTAGCTATCTTTTAACAGATCGTTTTTCATCCTGCTTTTAAAGCACAACTTCCAGACTGTGCCTTATTGTCAGACTCATCTGGTTTAGCAGGCTGTATGTCGGGGCTGCTTCTAGCTCAGGCAGTCCTGAGCCCTGGATGTTGAAGATGCTCCCAGCTCCTGCCTCCTTTACAGTAAGAGCCTGGTTTCAGATCTCTCATTCTAGTACTCATTTTAAAAGTCCATTGTACTACGAAGTACTGGGACAAATTATGCAACTTTTAGCACTACCTGTAGCTTCTGGAAGAGGCCTGGGACCAGGCTGCTTCAGAGTGAAGCAAAGGGCAGACTGAAACAGGCTGTACCTTAGTTATCAATTGTCCATTTCTGTCTAATCCCACTGTAAAATCAGGTAGAGTCATTTTCGTTGTTCACGCCGAAGCTGTCTAAGCTAATATGACTTTATGTTAGGATACGTGCAAGAGCAAGACCTCCAGAGCCTGTGCTGCTACTGATAAGCACAAATACAACATACTGATCAGGCAGATCAACTTAAAATCTTGCTCCAGTACATAAAGTTCATCACAGACTGAACGCACTCTGATCCTTAATAACCATGCCATAATTACTGATTACTGTACACGACTGAACATCCAAGAAGCTAAATCACTTGGTGCGACTTCATATACAGCGAGTAAATGAGACTCTCCTTCAAATACAGGGTAGGCAGAGTTCCTGTGGAATTGCTCAGTACAGAGGTAGACCTACCGGGAGGAGCTTTAGATCTTCTAGGATGTTATCGATGTAATGAAACTCGGAGTTTTCCAGCGCCACCATCTCCTTCTTCATCTCCAGGATGCGGCCAATCACGCCATCCAGCACTTGCCGGATCGCTGCCCGTTTCTGCTGGTGAACAAGTCCGTCGTGCGCCTCCTCCAAGTTGCGGAAGATCCGCATGTATTTGATGTAGGAAGAAGCTAACATCTTGAACACTTTCACGCGGTCCTTCTCTGGCTGGAGGAACTGTTCTCTCTCCATCTGGAGCTGGATGTCGAGGTCTTTCTGGGCATCTGTCCATATCTTGTTGTAAGTGCTGATTGAAAAGAGGAGACTGTCTTAGCCCGACATAGCAGCAAGAGCCAGCACGCAATATCAGGACTCTACAAGCATGGGTTTCTCCAAAAAGGAAGTTTGGAAATGCAAGCCATTGTATTTCCAAGGAGATTTTAACTGCAGTTACTTTTCAAAATCACTAGCAAAATTACTCTTTTTGTTTGTTTTAAAAATAGGCATCTTAAAATGTTGTTTTATTAGTGAAATTTCAAATATTAAAAACTTTTTGACTTCATCCCTACCATCCACTACGACCCTGACAGGGCAGTCAGTGAGTTTCATTCAACTGTGCTAAGTGAGAGGATGGTTTCATAGAAAAGGTGTCTCTCCCTAAGTCCTTAGAATAGGGAAAATTCTATTTTAGGTCTCTCCACGTTTGGGATGAGGACTACTTGATGTTGCTAAAGGGTGTGCTGCCTTCCTGCCTTTCTGAAATGGTTGCTCTAAGTTAATTTTAGGGTGAGGACTGTATTGGTGCCAGTGCTACCCTGTGGCTGTGTGTGCTATTTCAGAAGTGAAGGGAGGAGAAGAATTAACTTATTTTCTGTGGAAGCAGTTGTTGCACTTCAAGCAATTGCTGTGTGTCTGGTCCAGTGGCCAGGGAGCTCTGTGACATGGAAGATGTCACCTAAGGCCAGCTTCATTTCCAGAAGCCATAATGCTTTTTACTTGGGGACTTCTGCACTTTATGGTGGTGTGAATAGGCTGAGAGGCTGAGCTTTGCTGGGCGGGCTGTCAGTGGCTTTGCACAGTAAGGTAGACCAATGCTGAATAAAGAAATGAACGCTGGGCAGTGACTTGCTCAGAGAAGAGCCCAAACAGCAGGCTTGTCAACCCTGCCAAGAAAGGTGAGCACAACAAACCGCTCCGCCTCCACTAAACAACTTTCAGAGCAGATTTCTTTCTGATCCATGCAGCACCGAGGGTGTGCTTGGGTGTTAATTCTGAAAAGAGAGCCGGGTCACTGCTAACTTTGCTTGTGCTTGATAATAAACACCTAGGCAGGAGCTCTGTCAGCTGCCCTTGTCACTTCTGGTATCGGATACAGGCTGACCACAGCCAGAGACTACCAGGTGGCAGGACGCTGCCCCAGCCCCATCCCAGCAGGATGCTGCCAGGGCTGCTGAGACTCACCCCAGCACTCACCCAAACCCCCTAACAATCTAAACTCTGCCATTCAATGTGCTCCATTAACTTTTTAAGTGCATATTATACTTTTCAGCTGACCTGGGTTTCTGCAGGATGCAGCTGGACTTGCTTTTCCTACTGCCTCTGCAGCCCACCCAGGTCTTTCCCCTTCCTTTTTTCCTCCCTCATTTACATCCCATTACACGAGCTGAATCACTCAATTGCAGTAATTAACCCAGGTGCAGGAGATAAACAAAATAAAACCAGCAAAGGGGACAAAGATGGCCCTAAACAAGGCCCTTAGGTTTGACCTGGTGGTTTGGCCAGCTGATCAATGGGATTTTTGTGCACTTACTCCGGAGCCAGCCCATGGAAGAACATAAACTGATGAGATTGTCAGCGCAGAAGGGAACAACGTGGTATTGTACTCACTTAGCTCTTGCCTACCTATGGATGATTTGATAATAGGGAGATTATAAATCTCCAGGGAAGTCTGTGGGCTGTCCCCGCAGCTATATGGCTGATTTATGAAGGGTGGTGTCTTTGGGCTAGAGCGTTTCCAGCACAGGTTACTGCATGAAGACACCAGGATATACCCAAACATGAACTAGCTCCACAATCATCCCCTCTGGTTTACAGAAAAACTCTTTCTCTCTCCTCTAACTGAGGAATGTCAAGTGATTCCCCCTGCTGAGCCAGCTAATATCCAGTTTCTTTTTCTATTTTGAATGACTTTTTTTAGGACAGAGAGAGAAGAAGCGCTCTAATCCTTTGGAGGACGTTAATGTAAGGCTGTGCAAACGGGATGTAATTGTTTCCATAAAGTATTAGTTTATCAGATCGGCACTGGGATGATTGCAAACACGTTGCTGTGGGTCTAATGCTAAGATTATGGATATTATGGTATGGTTGGAGCTCTTGCAGCACTGATGTCCTGTGTAAGTGAGGGCAGAAGAGAGGTCAGACTCAGAAATGAAGCACTGCGGTGGACCCCCTGAATTTCCAGCTGTGGGAGGCTGGTGGCTGCCTGCTGCAGGAAGGGTGCCCAACATCTCTGTCCCTAGAGCTTTTGGGGTTGTGAGCTGGGTGGCTGGGAATTGCAGGCACTTGATAGCTGGGCAGTGTCAGCAGAAGGACGATTTGAGTGTCTCTTGGGATCCGCTTGATTTATAAACTAGAGGACATGTGCATTGCTATTTGCTTCCTTTCCCCAAATCTGGATTTAAATAATTATTTGTGGGTTTCCTAGTGTCCAGATAAGAGCCCTTCTGGGTAGTTTGAAGGATAAGATGTGGTTGGTGTTTATAGCCCTTGCTGGAGGACTTGGCTCTTGAGGAGTTGTTTAGGTTTGGGGAAGAAGTGACCACAGAGAGTGTGCATCTCACTGCCCCTGAACACAGCCACCCTCTGCTTAGGGACTAATGTGTTCAGGGGAAGCAACGCACGTCCTCAAGATGCTGTGTTAAAAGCAAGCAATGGCACTGACCCTCCCTGCCTCTTAATCAGACAGCATGCAACCCCAAATCCTATTTGGATTTTTCCCAATTTGCTCAGTGTCCCTCTGTGTTAAGCTGCAAACTCCCTCCAATTGCTTCCACGTGCTGAAGGGGGAATGTAGGACAGCCTCAAGTGCTCCTTATTTACTGATGCTGGTTTGTCTGGTAGGTTCGTTCCCACTCTGTAATGGCCGGGTTGTGAGCTACGCACGTGCCTGAGGACGATATTGCACCAGAGATGGATTAGAGCATCCGACTAGCCTGCTAGTGCTGGTAAGCTGCAGGACTGAATGTAATTTCCCTTCTCGAGGCATAAGCTTATTAAAACCTGGGAAAGAAGGAAGTCGGTTTCTTGATCTCTGCAGACAGTCTGTGTATAAATGATGCTGCAAATTAATTGTCATAGCAACTACAAATAGGAGTGCTATGGGAAAAATAAGCAACTCTGTAATGGGACAAGGGGAAAAAACACATTAAGTGACTTAACTCCAGAGCCCCCAGAGCAATTTCTGGCAGCTTACAGTGGGGAGGGAAGGTCAGGGCTTGCCTCCTCACCAGCATCCCTTCTTTTCACTCCCACGAAGTGGAAGCAGAGCCTAGTACAAGTGTGTAAGAAGACTCTTTTGCCATCGCATGACTTCCAGCTTCAACTTCATTTTATTGCTCCTGATCTGCTTATTTTGAGTGAAATTTAGACACATGATTTTCTGCTGAAGTTATAAGGGGACGATTAAAATCCTGCCAGGTCACACATTGCCTCAGTTTTTAATAATCCAGGGCCTTTTAGCTTTACATGTTTGTTTGACCCATCTCTTCTTACACTTAGAGAAATCTGTTGGTTTTCAGTACAGCTGAGATTAGCCTGCCTACTTGTGTTGAACTGGCTTTGAGACTTAAGCACACCCTTCTTGGAAGGATTTGTGCTGAGCATGCAAACTGTCCCTCAGACCACTCTTGAGCCAGGAGTGGAATCTGGCATCAGTGGGGTTGCTTTTGTTTCTTGTCTTTTTTTTTTTCTTCCAAATTGTCTCTTTTATTTGGCAGCCAAAGGGAACGCTTTCTGCTCTTCCAGGCTGTGGCACAGTTTGTGCTCCAAGCTACGCCAGGCTGGATTCATACACAGTCTGATGAACCCAGGCTGTCTTGATGCCTGGCTTCTCCGGGGTGTCCTCTGAAGGCAGAAGTACCTCAAGCTCCCACACTCCGATCGTGGAAATGCACAGCATTTTCTGATGTGAAGAGGTGGAAGTGAAAACTGTGCTCTGAACTGGCGTGGCTCTCTTTAGCCACCTAGTGTAGAAACTCCCTTGTCTGGTTACGAGTGTTGTGGTGTGTGTTGCAAAATATACGGTGTGAACCAAGGCAGCAGAGGCTGTATGTGGAGTCATGGTGTCCGTGCAGGGCTGCAGGCAACCGGGGTGTGGGCTGAGCGACAAGGAAGCGTGCGCAGGGTCCTCGGGTCTCCTCTGGGTGCTTGACAGGTCAGCCATTGTGCTAAGCCCTGGGCAAACAGGAGGCAGGGAAACCCTGCCCCGCAGCGTTTGTGAAAATAAAGGAATAGGAGACAAAGGTTGGAGGAAAAAGCGAGGCCCCGAGAGGAAGAGGGGCTTGCAAAAAAGCTGCTGCCTTGCTTTTCTCTTCTGAAAAATCACCAGGCTGGGGCTGGCTGCTGGATTATTCACGTCAGCAGAGTACCTGTTCCCTCACAACAGCCTGCTCGAGCATTGCGTAGTGATTGCTGGGCTAAACTTATTATAGGACAGAAACAGATCAGCGGGGACTGTAAGGAGGAGAAAGAAATGGCCTTAAACATTGTCTGAATCAGTTCCTGCTTTAAAAGCCTTTAGCTTATGGTCTGGAGCAGTGTGGGCTCGCCACTCGGTCAGGCCTGCCTGCCTTGCTCCTCGTATAACAATAGCCTTGTAATTATGCCAAACTGTTTAGCTGGTGGCTAACGCAAGGCTGCTAGATGACTTCCCTCTTCGCTCTAGCTGCGATGTTTTACAGTTTGAAGTGTTTGAGGAAACTGAAGGATAAACCTCAACAGGCTTCAGTTGTGAGTGGGGAAGAAAACATACAGAGCACGAACAGCTCTGCACTTCTGTCATCTCCAGTTCCAGTCTTTGGTACTCAAACAATGATGTGATGAGGGGATAAAAGATTTTTGTAGCATAAACATAATAGGAAGTCTTCCTATTCGTAATAGGAAACCACCTCCAGTTGCATGCACGAAGGACAAACGCTCTGAGTGCCTCTCTACCGTTGTCAGGCTTTTTGCTCATTTAAACTTCACGCTGCCTGCTCAGTTTCTTGAAGACTGTAGCCTTGTCTTTCAGCTGCTTTCTGGCACGAGTGCTGCTGGGATAGATCTGCTGACAATGCTTTTTCCCAAAGGAGGAAAGGTATGAGAAACACACGAGGTCTTTCCCTACCTGCTCATTAAGGGAGGCACGGGAGAGATGCAGCCTCGAGTCTTGGTTGTGATCATTCTGATTCTGTCTCTGTTTTCCTCTGTTAATACAAGGAGGATGACACTGATGCTCACCAGGGGTGGAAAAAGGGGTAAAGATGAATCTGTGAATGTCTGGGAGATGTACTGGCGAGAACATGATAAGAATGCCCAGGAGGGAGCTAATAATTGTGGTGTTTGGATGGAATTTGAAGAATATGGCCTGGGGCCACGTGCTGGATGAGGGGATAAAAAGAAACATTCAACAACAGTCCAATCATTGCGTGAGGCTTGGGCCTCACGGGAAGAAAGCAGGACATGATCACAAAATATGGAACTACATCATAGTGCAGCCACGTAACGCAGGGGGAGAGAAGGGGAGGAGAAGTTGCTCTGACATTTTCTTACGTTTTCAGCGCTTGGTTTTGCAACCTTCATTTTCTTTAACTGAGCTTTGGGGATGTAACATAAAATATACAGCTCTCCTTTGGTCGCTTTTGTCAGAAGCAGAAGGGGAAACGCTAGAGATCTTGTCTTAGATTAATATTTAACCATTGACTTTATGTAAGTTCTGCTTGTGATATGAGATTAAGTTTTAAAGCTTTTGGATTGTTTAAAGCTCCTTGGTGGCAGCGGCAAATGTCTTGCAGCTGATTAAAACCTGGTACAAATGGCAGCAGTGCCAAGACTCGGCTCTGAACATGTCTGGACTGGGGCTGTAAGGGTGAATTAAGAAATTACCGGTCAAGATCCTACAGGTCAAGTAATTGGTAAGCAAATTCATAAAAGAGGAGGAAACGCAGCAGGAAAACAAATGCAATAACATCTACGCAAATCTCCTGCTCAATGTCTGGAACAAAATGTACATCTGTATGCAAATGCTGGGGCTTGAGCACTTGAGGAAGTGGGATACATCGAGCACCTCTTAATCAACCTCACAGCAAATGTAATGGGCGTGCTTTCTTGTGAGCGCTACCAACTGTCCTTAGAAAATGTCGAGCGTGTCTGGACACGCCAACTTTTCTTTTGGCCGGCTGCTGGAGCTTATCGGCCCCACAGGGATGTAGCTGAGCGCTTTGAGTGTCCTGCCTACAACCCAAAAAAAGACACAAAGCTTACTGCAGCAGGGAACAACATGCTTCCACCAGCTGCAGAACACACCTCCATGAAAACCACAGGGCCTTGAAGATCGTCAACACTTACATGGATGAAAAATGCTGAAACCCTCATCAAGTAGGCTGTGTGCAGCACGATGCTGCGCTGCAATGCTGCCAATCCCACTGCTTGGAGATGCAGTGCATGCGAGGCAGCTGCCCTGCGTGTGCACTTTGTAACTCTGCCACGTCCAACTGGCTGCACGAGGCGCGTGTGATTTCTCTCTGTGCGTAGCAGCTGTTTTTCCAGATGTCTGAAAAGCAGCCGTTTACCTCAAACTCGAGGAGAGGAAAAAAAAAAAGCTATGTGCTGTGCAGCTTTTCTATACAGGACACAGGATGTGACTGTACAGTATTGAAAAATCTGTGTTACAAACTCAGCTGTGGCTTACTGATGTGCCTGCCTCCTTGCAGGATGGAGGCTGGATTCCATGTGACATGGCAGCTTAGGCAGCCATTCCTTGCAAAATAATATAACCTAGGGCAAAACGAAAGCACTTTCCTGTTTCTTAACTAGCAGCGTTGATTACTGTTCAGCTCTGTGCTGGGATGCACAAAGTTGTGAATAGTGAATATTCATATTGACATACCAGCATTATCAGCCTCAGCCACTTAAAAATAATGAAATTAAGCCTATGTATATTTAGCTAAGAATTTAAGAATTTAGTACTTTTCATTCTCCAGAGTGATTGGGTGTTGTTTTTTTTTTTTTCAAAGGGTTGCTATGATTCTTATGTAATGACCAGCATCTAGTTGCTGGGGAGGTGATAAAGAGCATGAACTACCCCAAAAACTTGGTCTAGTGAGACGCAGAGTACATGAAACAAAATGATCTAGTCTGCTGCTTAAATCCAGCTCTCCAGATGCAGCACTTGGTGAGCTGGTGCATATTCAGACTCGTGTTTACGAAGGGCTGAATTTGCTTAGCTGTAAATGTGCACAGCTACAGCGTGATTGCAGTAAGTGAGCCAAGCAGCTTCAATGTCAAACTGGAGACCCTTAGCAGTATCACTACCTCGTTTGGGAACAGGAGTGTATATATATTTTTGTCTTGTGGGGTAGCGATGCATATCATGTTTATATGGATTTACTGTGTAGGGCTGGCAATGCGGCAGGAAAAGCAAAGGGCATTCTCTGTATTAATATTAAACTGAGTTAAACCAAACTGTGGAAGCACAACAATTCTTCAGCTACACTCAAGTTTAATTCCTTCTGTGTTAATTGAGCCCAAGTAGGAGCGGGCTGTATTTCAGACAGCAGGAACAACAGATTCTGAGAACTCTCCTGTGAAGAGGTCAAACGCTACTTTTGCTGCTTGTTTTAAACCACACAGTTTAGATACCCATTTATGATTTTATAAACCTCCCCTAACAAAGTTACGGTGCCAGTGTGAGGCACAATTATTGCGTTACAAGCCAGGGTCTGCACCAGGTCAGCCAGCAAACCAAATTGAGCCTTCCCCAAACCTGCAGCAGCTGGAGGCTGGCTCTGGGTGCTGGGACAGAGCCCCTGGACACTCTGCAGCACCCTTGCGGGTGTTTTTCCCTATTCCTCTCAGCTCACCCTTCTTCTGAGCTGGGAAAAGTAAGCTGGCTGGAAAAGAAGTGGCGTCTGGGCTTTTGAGGGCAGATGAGGCAGCGGCTAGAGGCTGAGGCAGGGAAGGATGAAGGTGGAGCTGCTCCAGTTTGGAGGTGGAGAGGTGTTTTAAAGCCTCCAGGGTCTCACCTGACACAGAGAGGGGTCTGGGAGGAAGGTTTCCTAAACATAAGGGTCAGGGTTTGCTATGGGTGGTATTGCTGGAGGAGCGGGCAGGGCTCCTCGCAGACATTTTGATGTGATGCCATCATCGGTGTCTGGCTATTGCAAATAAACTTGTGAGGCTTTGCATTGTGCTGAAAGCATGAGGAGTTCATTACAGAGGAAAAAAAAAAAAGAGAAAAGAAAAAAAAAACAACATGTGCAAACTTTAGTCTGTAAGGGAGGAAAAAGCGTGTTTGGTGAGGAGGAGAGAACCTAATTCAGGATGGGTCATATTGGGGTATGGATAATATTTCTGTTGGTGACTTGAGGCTTTGTGGGGCTGAGCCTAGGCGCTCTCCAAAGGGCTCGGTCTCAATTTTGGGTGTTTTCTACCCAAGCCGCGCAGCTCCCGTGCAGCCCCACGCCGGCTCCAAGCCCTACCCGGGTGCTCCCCCCCCCCAGCCGCCTCGGATCCCCCCCGGCGCTACTCACGCCTGCGACATGCCGAGGGCAGCGGGCACCGGGATGGGGCCGGGACCGAGCACCAGGCACCGGGATGGGACCGGGACCGGGCACCGAGCCCCCGGCGCCGGGACGCGCCGCGTCGCCGTTGTCACGGAGATGGGGGCGGGCAAGCCCTAGGAACGGACGGGGCGGCAACCCATACATATATATATATAAATATATATGGGTTATATATTTATATATCCCCCTCATAGCAGGTGGAAACCCGTCTCATGTTTTTATTTCCTTCAGTTTCATCCCAGCGCTGTTCATCGAGCGCATCTGCAGGCATGGATCTGTTAAGCGAGCACACGCTCGGCGACGTTTGGCACGCAGGCACGCGTAGCAAAATTTGCTCATTTTTTTTCTGGCTTTATTTTTTTCCTTGTTGTCTCCCCCGGTCAGCGAGAGGGGACGCAGCAGCGTGTTGTAGTGTGGCCTGTAAAATCACACCCGTAATTTTGGAGCCCTGCTTTTGTCGGAGGCTGGCAGCGAGGGTTGCACAGCTGCTTCCTTTCCTTGTAAACAATGGCTCCTTGGCAGCCCGGCAAGCCACTTACATGGTGGTGAAGCTGGAGTCTTTAAAAATAATCCCGTTTTAATTTATTGCGTGTATACAGCACGAGAAGCATCCATTACAGAACATTAAAGGCCGCCTCCTTTAAAAGGGGAAAAATAAAAGCCAGCAAGACAGGATTACGGCACATCATTCTGGGGAAAAAATGCACTCCTCCACAGAGCGGGTGGGGAAGGAAAAAAGAGAGAAGCTTGGGACAACGAGCGTTTGCCAGTGATCACATTTTTTGCCATAAATCTCTGGGTGTCTGTGTTCCTTTGCCTTTTTTTTTTTTTTTTTTTTTTTTTTTTCCTCAAAGTCCTGGCGTGTATAATTAGGTGAGAATCTTGGCTATAGCATTTTCAAAATACAGTTCCTAGCCCCCATGGTTTTGGAGAAAAGTTTGAAAATGTAAGCCTTGAAGAACCAAGATCATAATAAAAATCATGTAAGACATAATATTTTTCAGGCCGTGTGATGGCTATGCCAGTCTCCTGACTTCATTGGTGTCCTGTTGGACTGGTGGCTTGGTGCTATGTGAACTGAGTTCCTGTTCCTTTTCTTTTGGTCGGAGAATGGTGAAAATCCACTTGTAATTAGCGGTGTTAATCTGAAAGCGCCACTTCATGCTGGTTCTGTTTCCATCAGGCATCTGCCTAGTTCCTTTCAATGTCTTCTAATTCTCACCCACCTGCAGGTCAGGGGATTTTCTACATCGGTAACTAGTTTGGATTTTGCTCTCACTGAATACCTTAACCAAGGTAACTCCACATTCTGAATGGGAACCTCACATTTTTATTTCCATTACTGCGGGCATCTGGCCAGCACTTCCATCTGAGCTATTTTTTCAGCCAAGGGTTTTACCTGCAGAGTCCCAGTGATACTGTTTCTGTAAGTGTGTGTGGTTTTAAGGACCAATTTGGCTGTAACCCCCGAGCAATGCACATTTTCTCATCCACCTCAAGATACCTTTCATTCTTTTGCTCAGTTCCCAGATCACCAAGAGAAAGGGAATGACACTTGTGTTTCAATAAATAAATTCAAGAGTCAGTCCTAATAGAAAATTACCGTGGTTCTTTTACTCTACAACGTGTCGCTCAAAAATAGCTTCTAAAGTAATAGCTAAGAAACCCGTCGTGTGTGCCTGAGACTAAAAAGCAAGAAGCTTTCTGAATCAGTTGAAATGGGAGTGACAAGATTGCTCATAACTGATGTGGATGGCAAAGACGGTGCCTCAAGTGAGGAAGCCTGTGTATAGTTCACGATGCATGAAAAAAAGATCTTCCTTTTTGTGAGCCACACAGTGGAAGTAAGGTTTGTCTGATATGAAAGGCAACCACTCTGGTGTTGATACTATGTTAATGTGAATTCTTTGCCCCTTAGCACCTCAGTGCAAGGATGATCTTTTTTCTGCTGAAAGCAGCATAAAAGATGAAGTAATGCTCATTGCTCATTTTGCTCCCCCTCTTCCCCTCCCACCAAAAAAAAAAAAAAAAAAAAGTTGGAGGAAACCAAACATCTTCCTTTTAAGAATGGGAAATTGAGCCTCAAAAAGTGATGTGCACAAGTCTGTGCAGAAGTTCAGGGGCTTTTCATTTTCATCAGCTGGTAGGGAACTTGAAAAGAGTGAATCACTTTGCTGAGAAAAGTCATGCAGTAAAATCAATTATGAAATGCGTGGAGTTGATATTGTTGTCATGGGAAAGGAGCCTGCTTTGTAGCCGAAATGAGAGTAGTGTATGATTGAGTAATTGGTTTAGGCTAAGAAAATACAAGGTTATGATGAGAGAAACTGAGGAGTGTGAGATATTCTGTTTTGCTTTAGGTTTCTTGTTGAATCCTTGTGCTTTCAAGTAAAGATTTGAAGTGAAATGGTGCAGCTTTGCCTGGGCTGTTCATCCTGAAATGATTGCCTGGTGTTGTATTTTCTGCTGTGGCTGCATCTCTGCCTGGGGTCTGTCTCAGCTGCTTTCCATCCCCTTCTCCAGCTTTCTTCTCCTTTTCCTTCCTTCATCTCCCATCCAGTCTCTCCCCCTGGAGCTACCACAGCCTTCTTTCAAGTTCTGTGCCTCTTTCTGAGCTTCCTTCATGTTGTGTGGCTTGTGAGCCTTTTGGGGCAGGGGAGGTCCTACTGTCTGATCCATTTCTGCAGAAAAGATCTAGGCACACGCCAAATTGTAATTGAAGTCCAGCAGACCATTGACAGTCAGTCGATACTGTGAAGTGTCTCAGTCTTTCCAGTCCCGGATCACGCGTCTCCGACAATTCCTACAGGCAGCAGGCTGATACTTCTCACTACAACCAGAAATTAAAGGGATTTGTAGTTGTTTTTCCACACGTTGTATATTTTTGTATAGCATCGATAGTGACTTCTTGTCCTGATCACGCTGCATTAAAAAATAAAGCCATGTTATTTAATCTATCCAGCAGGAATAGGTGATGGGTTTTCTACAGCGCATTCCTTTTGGCGTCAGTAATTCCTTAGGCTCTTGCAAATACGAGCTTAAAAATTCTGCTGCCTTGGAAACTAGGTGCCATCATTTTTCAAAAAAAGCCTTTTATTACAAGCTTAATAGGCGACTAGTGAGCTTACAGGAGGATAACTTTTAAAACTGGAGGGCCTTGTTCCTCTAAATTCAGGTCCCTGGCAAAGAGCTTAGTGCACCTGTCTCTTATTGAGTGGGGGCTTAAAGTAAAGCGAGGAACATAATAGAAAAAATGTTATGCCTTTGCAACTCATATTTCAAAGCACTTACAAAGGTCTGGATTGTGCCCCAAGGCACAGTACTGAGGGAGGAGTGCTGTTTTGTGCATTGCTGCCCCAAAGAGCGTGCAAAGGCTGGGTCAGGGCTTTCTCCAGCATGCAGAAGGGATGATCGGAGGCTTTGGGCCCCAGCTTGGGAGTCCTGCTGCTCGCTTTGCCGTGGGGACTTGGGGCACAGCATGAAAAGTTTCGGTGCATGAAATATTTCAGGGAGGTGGTGTTGGTCAGCGTTTGGAATAGACCCAGCAGCGTGAGGGGTGGGAAGGCTCTTTGGCCAAATTCATTCTTTCCTTTGGGATGGGAGACTTGCAAGGTTTTCTTGACGTTGTGGCAGCATTTATCTGTACGTAACCCCAAGTAGCAGTATGGGTATTGCATTTGTTCAGCCTGCAGTACAGCGTGGGATCGCGTCAGGTCTAAGGGGCATCTCTCGACAATGTGAGCAGTCCTTGAAGGGGCCTCTCCGCATGCTGAAAATGAGCTGGGGTTGCAAAGAAAGTGTCCAATTGGGGACCTGGTTGCAATCCTGTTGCGTGGCAAACTTGTGCGTTCAGGGCAGGGAGAAGTAGCAGCTCTTTCAGACAAGCTTGGCGAGCTGTTGCTCTAGGCTTCCTTGCAGATAGATGTTTGGTTTCCCTTTAAGCTTGGATTAACGTGCGTAAAGGAGCTCTGGGCGGCTCTTCACTGCAGGCTTGGGGATTTAGGACTGCATTATGGCTTCAGAGCTGACTTCTAGCTCACATCCTTGCGTGCTCTGATATTGGGGAGGAATGGCGCTGCCAGTAGGGCTGCGCTGACCAGTTCATTTTGTCGTGTGATGAGTCTCTGAGCTATTTGCCAGTTAACATTAACTACCATGATCTACAGGAGGTTTGCTGCTTACTTCAAGGCTAAGTGAAGGGGATTTGTCGGTAGTCAGGTCTATTAGACTTTGATATAGCACCAGCATGTTCATCAGGCCCGAGCATGGTATGTGGAGGAGGAGGACTGGAGCAGAATTAGAAGGTATAAAGTTCAAATCTAATTTGAAGAATTTTCCTCTATCACTTAAATGTGGGAAATGTTCCTGTGGTTTCAGGTATAAAATGTCATACTTCATAAGGAGAGTGCGTTTTAAATCTCAGCCAGATATTAAATGCCATGCCACACTCCACTTCTCTCTTTGTTAAAAAGTAAAACCCCAAATCATCTCTCGTGAAATAAATGTTGTTCAATAAAATTAAAGCTTTCAAAAGAGCCAGTTCAAATAGTGTCAACTCTCTATCATTAGGAAACATCTGGTAGCGTATTGATTTTTTTCGGTATTGACAATTGTTCATCAGCATTCAGCCTTCTAATTATCTGCGATGCTGTTCGTAAAGCCGCCGACCAGAATAAATCTTGCAGTCAATACAGATTGACAATTAACATACACCAGATGTTTTTTGGCGAGAAAGAAATAGAAAAAGGGATTGGATTCAGGCTTCTGGCGATTATCCAAGTAATTTGTTAGCAGAGGTTTTAGAAAACTAGTTGGCTTTAACATTTGGCTTCACCTAGCAAGTTTTTAATAAATTAATGCAAACCCTGTGTCAAGCTTTAATCACTTAGGAGGGCAAAGGTCACCTCTATATTATTCTGGAAAGCAAATATTGGAAATAAGTAGCATTTCTTTTGGTTGTGTAATGTGAAGACGTATTCAGCATCAAATGTGAAATGGCACTTCCGGACAGGCCCATTTCAATTCTTTTTAAGATATACAGATCCTCTAACTGTTCACACACTACACAGACTCAACAGCCAGCAATTTAAAATAA